ACCCTACAATGGCTCTTAATACTGTCTGAACGATGAAAACAACCAACTAATGGCTTGGAATAAAGTCTATTAATAAATAACATTCTGAGGAGTTTAAAGAATATTTAAAAAAAAATTTAATAGAATTTTCACAACAAAATAACATTAAAGAATCAGAAATAGGTTTTTAGATCAATATTTCTTGTCAATAACTTAAACTGTTAATGTTTTAAATAAAATAATATATTAATATCCTATAGAAGAAAATTGATGCTTCCTCTTCATTAAATGTTTTTGTCCTTATTTTATTAATTTTAAGCCTAATTTTGATTTATTTAAAGAAATGTATTTATTTGTATAGAGGGTGAAAAAAATCCTCCAGAATAGCTTTAAAAGAGGTCAGTCCAAATGCAGGTAACCATCACTAACTAGTCTGGGTCGCTCTGGTCGACTCGTTAACCCTTTAGCTCAGATATGAGGAATCTTTCATTCTCTTGAAGAATGGAGAGGAAGATATTTTTGCAGGCATCTCCAGCTTTCATGCAGAGGAATATCTCCCTCATCTGATCCTGGGAGGTGGCTAGAGATCTTATTCTGTCGTAGGCCTCATCCAGGAGAACTTTCTCCTGGAAAAGTCCATCTAAAATGGGTTTGATGTTGCTCACTCTCTGGATCAGCTCTTTTCTGTGTTTGTCCACAAAGTGCTCCTCTGGGGAGAAATCAGAACAGATTCCATCTGCTGTAATGAAAGAAAAAGCCTTTAATGTTTTATTCAATATAGAGAGCAGTCTGATGACAGTTTCCTCTCACTGTATTTGTCGTTGTTGTGTCTCTAATTTCTCCGGTGAACAGAGTGATGCTTTCTGTAACTTCCAGTGATTTTCTTCCACTTCTTACCTTCTGCTTTCACAGCTCCAGCTTCTGTTGAAGATCCTCCAACTGACAGAGAGAGAAACAGGAACACAGAGGGATTATTGCTGGGAAGGTTTTAATTCCCTCATAATGAGAAAACAACAGTCAGCTGATGCATCAAAGGCTTCCCATCTGTAAGTCGCTCTGACCACAAAACTGCAACGTTTCCAGCTACTTTTTAACCATTTTATCCACCTTTCATTTTAGACACTAAGTGTGGTTATAATCTATGAATGAAATTTGAATAAATTGAGCATCTTACCTGCAGACAAACCAGATTTAGGATAATCATCTGTATAAAAAGGAAGAAAAACAGTCTCAATGTTTTCCATTCAGTTTTCTTGGCTCCCTTCATTAATAATCATTAAACTGCTTTTGTTTCTGTTCCAGAACCAGTTAATGTGGGTTTGGACCAATGTTCTGCTGGAATTCCTGCTTCTGGTCGGGTTTTAACCACATCACTGCTGATTCTAGGGGGAAATTGCAGCAGCAGGAGTAGCAGTGAGACGTCCCCACAGCATGATGCCAACACCACCGTGTTTAATTCAGTGATGCATCTGATTCTAACAAGCTTTCCAGCTCTGGCATGCAGCTCTTTGGACCCTACAATGGCTCTTAATACTGTCTGAACGATGAAAACAACCAACTAATGGCTTGGAATAAAGTCTATTAATAAATAACATTCTGAGGAGTTT